TGAGCAGTCTAGCTAACACAAGGGGTAGTGTCCCCAGATACTAATTACCCAGGCCCTAGAAGCTCCTGAGGGCAAGTAGCTCTGAGCTGCTGGCCAGGGCAGGTTTTTATATTGCTTTGGCCAGCACAGATGCTCCCCCTGGCTGTGGAACTGGGAGGAGCCAGGCAAGGTTATTTTGCCCCAAGTGGCATAATTTGCTCCACAACAAAGTGCATGTCTGGGCACTTGCACTGAGGCAAAAAGCCCCAGCTCAAATTTGTACCGCTTCTATTTGAGCTGGTGCAAGCGCATGTGCTTGCATGTGTGCACATGCCCTTATTATCTATCTTGTATCACAACTGACATACCGCCTGTGTAGTCTCATTATTTATCAATGGTGGAAACAAACTTTCCTTATTAGAGAAAGATACAACTGTTTCTGCACAAGTTGTTTGCAGTCTGTGCTTCCAAAAGTTCAGAGTTCATGGACACATAATCCTTGACAGCCCCAAATATATTCCACCATTTCACACTCCTTCACTTTACCTGTTACAATTACAAGATAAGTTACAGTACCAAATGCCCTTAGCATCAGATCTTTGTTTCATAGTTTTTCCCCTTCCCTGTAATCTCTATCACCTATGTTTTAGGAAAGAATGCTTGATCAGATTTTACTATTTTTCTTTCACATTTTATTACCTGTCTTGTTTTCCTTGTCCTTGCTTCGTTCATGAGTATGCATTGTTTATGAGTAGTTGCATACACAGTAGTGTTCCTGATCAGCTTTTTGGTGATGCTGACTACACAGTAGCTAGCTTGTTACTATTGCACAGTAGCATCGCATCATGCCACGCAACGCTACGGCACAGTAGTAACAAGCTGCTGCAGTAATAATAAGTCAGTGCAGTCAGCATCTCGTTTAGACATGGCTGATGTTAACTTCCTCCTGTACAAAAAGTTACAGAATGTTTTCATTCAAGATATTTCAGAGCCTTGTTTTTCTGTCTGGTCATATTTGTTCGAATTAAAGTTTTGAGAGTGAAGGGGTCCAGGTATTTTTCACCATCTGGCCCTTACTTGTAGCTGATATGATTGTCCTTGTAGCTCAGGAATCAGGTTGCCATGAGCCCACATGCTAATTATATAAGGGAATTTTTTATTAATACCTTGAATATTCTTACCAATTTGGGAGTGGGATTTTCATATCCATTTTCTTTTCGTCTGGGTTGTGTAACAGATCAACATATACTTAGAACTTTTCAGATAACAGTGACTTCTTGGCCTGTTCAAATATCCAGTTACATATCTCATTTTAAATTCAAGTAGACAGAGATATCCTAAAAGGGGCATAACTCAAACGGTTAAAGCAGGGGTGTCAAAGATGCAGCCCATGGAGCTCTATCATCTGACCCCTGATACTTCCTGAGGGTCTTGAAATGACCCACATGCACCACTTAGAATGTGCTGGATGGCTTTGTGAGCCATATGCAATACCTGCTTTGGCTGCTTTGGGACCATGCTGCATACAACATGCACTCCAATACACATCTGCTCCATATCAGATCCAGCGTGCATCCTGGAGTGACCAGAGCAAGCCTTATGACTGGCTTATGTACAGCACAGTCCCTGACCTGCTGCTCTGGGGCACGAGCTGGATTTGCCATGGAGTAGACAGGAATTGGAGCAGGCACTGCATGCAGGACAGTCCTGGAACAACCAGAGGGCACCATGTTCAGTGTAGTCCCAGAGTGGCTGGGCCAGGACCATGCCGTATGCAGCACCTGCTCCAGCTTCTCTGGGGCCATGCTGCATGTGGTGCCTGCTCTGGCCACTCCATGACATGCATTGGATCCATCACTGAGTGGATGTGGGTGCCACATGCAGCATGGTTCCCGAACAGTTAGTCCAGGACACACACTGCATGTGGCACCTACTCCAACCACTCCAGGACATCCTCTGGATGTGGTATGCAGGTTTGGCTTGTGGTTCCTATTTGCTCTACAGACTGGCCCCATGGGGCCATGTGAGTTTGACACCCCTGGTTTAAAAGATATCCTCCATTTTTAATCATGACTTAGGAAGCTAGTACAAGCAGATGTTATTTCTACCTATATATGCCGTACCAACACTAAATCTGGAGCCTTGAGCAATAGAGTCCTCAGGAAAATGTATTCTGACACCACTAACTGGGGTGGTTTATTGAGTAAGCACAAATGAAATGTGGTTACTCTTTTGTGTTCTTCCATACCATGCCTTGCAATCAAGATAAGGAAATAATTTGTCACCAAGGTTTATCTTCTGAGGTAGATGATTGATGGCTGTTTTCCTCAAGGCTACAGTGAGAAAGCAAATCCAGGTTTTCTAGTATATTTATGTGGAAAATTCCTTCTCAAGTGAAAAATGAATAAGAGCAGGAATTAACTGAGAAAAGAATTGGGCTCCTAATTTTAAATGGTGATCTTTGGCTGTAAGTAGTAGCCAGATTAGGCATCAATCAGATCCCAAATATTAATGCTCAGAAAAGAATGAATGTATGGGTAACCAACCCCCTGCCACAGGCAAGGGGAATTTTATTCTGGTGAGCTGCCACTCTTATAATAATGATGAAAATAGGAGGTGTGCTAACAGAATAATTTCCGTCACCAGTCTTCTTTGTATTACAGACACTTTCAAACATGCTAAAAATCCTATCACTAACATTTAAACAGATCCAAGGTTTCCTTCAGATTCTTTCTGTAGTCATTCTTCTCCACGCCCCCCATGAGTCTCTCCCTCAAGCTGAGAGCACCACAGTACTGTTAAAAGCTTATGCTTTTGATCTCTGTGCAAATAAATGAGCTGAAACAAATAAAACTCAGTTCACAAGAGACTTCCAAGACATCTGGTGGAGTTATTTTTCTGAGTAATTAGACCAAGTGGTGGTGCAATTCCCAAATGAAAACTACCTTCTTGCTTGATATCCAGTTATTTTTCATAGCCGTCAAGATGGCAATAAGTCCCACTTCTCTCCCTTGCACGTGACTCAAACTCTATTGATTACCAGTCTTTCTAAACTGGAACAATCAGACCTTCAAGATAGGCTTGTTTGCAGCTCAAGTCTCTTTATTTTCCTTACACTTTGAGGGCCCTATTCATCTTCCGTGGAAGTTAGCACATTCTGGCATTGATTAGAGTAAGACTTAGCTCTTATCCTCTTTCTTTTTCTTCCTAGTAACTTACTGTAGGTCTCCTCAATATGACCTCTATGAAGCAGGCAGCAGAGTATAAAGGAATAGGAGTCAGTTGCTTGCTCTGAAGTCAATAGTGTTCCTGGTTGAAGGAATATTATATCCAGGAATAAAAACTATCCAAAAGCTCATCAGAACTGAGTACTTATAATTTGTTCCCACAGTATTATTATGATGATTACATTGAAAGCAGCTTGGAATACATGGCAGGAAAGAACCGAGTAGGAAAAGATGTGGATGAAAAGCAGGATTTCAGAGGAATTTTTTTCGCTTTTAAAACTATTTTGCTCCAAATTGACATTCTTGTCAGTTTCATCACAAATGCCATTGAATGTCAAATTCCACTGAGCAGCAGCAGGGGACTGCCCACATCCTTGGCCTGGGAAACACTGATTGAGAATCCAACCTTGCCTTGGATTCAGTGAAAATTCATTAGACCTGAGATCTTAAGCAAAACATAGGGCACAGACAGAAGTTACATTTGTTGCATGATCAGCCCCCTTAAAGCAATGTATAGCTGTGCCATGACACATGTACACGGCTGCAGAGTGCTTTAAAAACAGCCAATCACGCGACAAATTAACCCTGTTTAAATGAGGGATCAGATGAAAGTGCTCCACTTTGGAGTGCCTTAGGGCAGTGTTTCTTAACCTGTGGGTCGCAACTCAAAAGTGGGTTGCAAGTATATTTCTAAGGGTTGTGAGCCTGTGCCACGAAAACACATGAAAAGCATGGGTTTCCCCTTGCAGACTGGCAGCATTCCAGCCTGCAAGGGGAAACCCACATTTTTGCAGTGTTCCAGCCTGCAAGTGGCTGCTGGGAGCTTGGCCAGCATGCAGCCAGGCAGGGTCATGGGAGCAGCCCCAGCAGCCGGATGCAGGTAAGTGTATGAGGAGCAGGGGGGTTGGAGGGCCAGGGCTTGGAGACTGTGGGGTGGGGGAGGGTGCATGTGTGCATGAGTGTGCGCGCACGCGTGCACGTGTGTGTGTGTGTGTGGGGGGGGGAAAGCCTGCCAGCACTGGGGGAAAAGTGGTCGGGCACCTAGGCTACAGCAGGGCAGGGGGCAGCCGGACTGTGGGTCATGCACCAGCAGGGCCAGGGGGGTGTGGGTTGGGACAAGCCACAGATCTTGGCAAATGGGTCCTAGTAGGAAAAATGTTAAGAACCACTGTCCTAGGGAACTTGTGTTCCCTGAGATTAATTTGTGGTGCATCAGTGCTGTCTGCAGGAAAGGACAGGGGAGAGAGGAAGAGGACCAAGCTGCAGGCTAGGGCTTGCCCAGCCTGAGCTAGGTGTGGGGGGTGGCGCAGGGAGGGGTTGGAGCCCCCCTGCCTCATGCCCCCCCTACCCCTGCTCTTCCCCTTCAGCTCAGGTGAGGCAAACCCCAGTCTACAGCTTGCTCCTCTTCTCTCCCCTCCCCTCCCCTTCCCCCCTCCCTTCGTGCACACAGCCAGAGCTGGGCGGGGTGGGACTGGGTTCCTTGGCTGCAGCCAGGCTCTATCTTCCTCCCCACAACTCCCCCCTCAACCCAACAGGTGAATGTGTGCTGGGTCCAGGGCAGGGAGGGAGGTGTGCTCTAACTCATGGCTAGATAGACACCTTGCCAGGGTCATTTGACCCCAGCACAGGGGTTCGGACTTGATGATCTGCTCAGGTCCCTTCCAACCCTACCAACCAGCTATGATGCAATATGTAAAGCACCATTAGTTACAGCAGGGGCCTGCACATCTGTCAGAGCCCATATTGGCAAAAGAGAAAACAGCAGCAGCAACAAAAACAACAACAAACTCTCACCAGAAGTTTCATCTACTCTCTCATCCACCACATGGTCCTTCTGATGAACCCATTCACTGTTGCACTTGAAATAGATCTGGGTGGCAGGGCTGGCCTTGCAGTACAGATTCACAGGCTTGTTCTTTACAATGTAGGCTTCTTCAGGTTCAATAAGAAAATGGGGTAGAGGCTCTGGAGGATCAGATGGAAAGGTTTCTGGAAGTTCATGGAAAAAGTCATCATCTGTAACACAGAAAAAGAAGGGGGAAAGAAAAAGGTCAGCAAATTACAACAACTGAAATTCTAGTTGTCAGAGACTGGGTGTTTCTACAAAGCTCAAGAAAGAAGGTGAGTTTTTCTCAAATGAAAAGTTAAAATGGAAACATCATTGGCTTGGAGCTTAAATGCATAGTTGTTTTCAATTTAGAAGGTATTTTAAGTCTTAAACAAGTATTTATATTTACTCATGTTCAAGGTATAGGTTTATAAATGATTTCTTATCAGTGGCAAGCATAATGATAAAGAACATAATATTAACGCATGGAGGTGTCATTTTTTGAATCTCTGTATAAAATTGTTACATTTGAGACTTCAAGGTTAAAATTTTCAAAAGACAAACTGCAAGATCTTTCCTATACAGTTCTCCAGCTAAATCAAGTTTATGCACATAGCTAGTAATAACTTAAAAAGCCACTTGGTGGACATGAAGCCTTTTATCTCTCAGTCATCAGTTTGAGACCGACCCAGATTAATTAAGTCTCCTGTCCACACCTCTTCCATTCAGCTTTTCATTTCTCTGGGAATTTTAACAAGGATGCCAATACTCTCTCATATCCAAAAGCAGACATACACATGGTGCTCAAAAAGTAAGTGAATTGATACCACAAATGCATTTCACAGATCACATAATACCTATGAAATGTCAAACACTTCTGGTCAATACTGACTTATTTTATGGATTAAGAAAAGAGGTTTAGTCTTCTCCAGTCCTGTCAAGACTTTTTACCAGGTCTAAATTCACTAAAATGTCTTTATTAAAACAAAACATAAAATAAAACAGGAAAAAACAGTCCAATGAACTGGTAGTTTCCTCCATAAAGCCACTTTTGATGGGCTTCATTCCTCTTCCCCTTTTACAGTAGAAATCAAGACTGGAAAGTGCCAGTTCCCAGGAGAACAGTCTTCTTCCCATCAACTGTGACTACTCTTGTCCACGTGCAGGACTGTTCAAGATGCTCACAGTGACAAAGGAATGAGGAAGCAGTAACTATTGACAAATCCATCAGCAAGAAGCTGACAGTCCTGAAGGCCTTATTCAACCTCCTCTTTTCTGCCTCTGAAGCAGTTATCATTATACACAGTGACGGACGTTGGTGATGATCAATAAAGAACCACGGAATATCAAACTAAAAATACTGCGGAAGGCTAGCTATCTTCTCTTTGTCAGTCTTCATGAAGATTAAATGTCAGATAGCTCCCCTCCTATACTCTACGTATACCTATATTTTCTACGTCCAGAATTACAAAGGGTTTAAAAGCCTTTCCTTCTAGCCGCTGCTGTCACAGAAAGAGAAGAAAGAACAATGAAAGATGAAAGAAATTGGAGAAACGGATAATGTGGTACCTATCTACATAGCCATATAGAGTTGCACTGTACATCTTTATTAGGGATGAGAACACCTTTCAGAATGCAAGGTTCTGTGAACCTCTTGAACTTTTTATGAACATCACAAACAGCACGAGTTTGCAAATCTTTTTTTCTTAATTCTAAATCCATTTTTCCCTGTAACAATGTTTCGGTTTAGAAACAAAAATGTCTCTGATTCACCACTGCATTACTCCATTACTGTTAATGTAGTTGGACCTACATAACAGTGGTATAATGGCCCAGTGTTTTTCTAGCAAAAGGAAAGGCTGATATTTAAAAACAAGGACAGAAGAACTCCATTCCCTTCCTGAACCAATCAGCGAAAAAAAATACTCTGGATACGGTATGAAATACAGTATGAAAACCAGATTTAGTTTTCATTAGAATTTGTTTTTCCTCTTTCAGCTTCCATTTTTCTTGGTTCTTCTGTTTTTGTTTTCATTGTAATCACCTTGTACTTAATTTTCATGCTCTTTCCATCCTCCACATTAGATTTTCTTCTCTGTTCCCTTTTTTTCCCAAGGTGCGATGTGCAACTTTGAGTCAAAGTTTGGAATTCACAATGACCAAGTGTATTTAAACCATGAGTAGTTTGTCTACCCCTAATATTCATCTACCCATAATACACAAGCCCTGTCTCCACATATATATATGTAGAACAGAGACATTGGAGATGAATCATTTCCCCAGAATTGCCATAGGACATATCTTTTTCTTCTGGTCATTTAATTGTAAATCAGCAAGCAGACAGATGGAAACTAACAACACACACATATGTTTCATAATTAAACAAGTATTGCTTCACTAATTTCTGGTGACTGGAAGAACAAATGTATTTATTTTCACCAATGCATATCAGAACATTACTGAAAACAACATTTATACTGTTTGAACAATTAGCTAAATCTTATCAAAGATATAACTCCAAAAGACAGGGGAGTCAGAAAACTTGGGTGGAGGAAAAAATATTTCCTTCATTATTGCCTAAAGCCTGATTGATCAGTCTTGAGAACATGTTTTGGATTCTCTACTGATTGTAAACATTTATAATGTATGAGTACTGTCTTTATTTTCAAGCACATTTTGTAATCCTGTTTTTTTTGTTTTTTTTTTACAAGCACAGCCTCTATCTTTGATCCTTTGAAAATGGGGAAGAGCTTGCTATGCACACCCATTTAGAAGCCTTACATGCTGCAGTTCTAGGCAGTTTTCTTATTTAGCCATATTAAATGATATAATTCCTTTCTAATGTTATATGTTAAAGAAAGGTGCATCAAATCCAATTTTATTTTCTCGTTGTGCTTCTTGCATTTTATACATAAGCAGATAAAGGATTCTTATAGCAGCTCCAGTATATACTGAGATACTGTTTTTTTCTAAAATATCTGTATCTTTAGGAAAAAAAAGAAAAGACAGATATGAGCTGGTGTTCTATATAAGAACATCTTTATTTACTTCCTGGTCTCAATGTTTTGTTATTATCATCATCATTGAGTGAGTTAATATTCTAGGGAACAAAAACTTAAGAGGAACATCTACAATACAAGCATGATTGGATTCTTCTGTATTTGACGAAGGTAAATAATGATATTGCAAAGCCAGCCTCATCTCCATCAACATTCAGGTCTCTAATCTATGTATCTGCTACACACGGCTAAAAAGTAATAGGTAGTCTTATCAGGCTGTCTGAATCAGAACTGGAATTCAGTTAATGCTTCCTGGGTCCCAACAGTGATTAGATCTGGTGCTGCATGAAAACAAACCATTGTTCCACTCTTGCCCAGACAGACAAATTAAGACAAGCCCTACATAGATACATGGGAAAAACTACTCAGGTTACAACATGGTAGTCCATAACATAGTTAAAGCAGTCTGGTCTTGCAGGATATTGTGGACCAAATTTCTAAGATACTGCAGAATCATGCCACAGCTCTTTTAAAATCCCAGAGATTTGGCAGCTCTGTTCCCCGAACAGCAATGGTGTAAAGAGTAGGACCGGCTGTTGTGTTACTGGTGGTGGCAAAGCAGCCAGATGCCAGGTGAAATGGTGCTATTTTTGTGTACTCTTCAGCCCCAAAGGTGGTGCCCAAGGCTGCTGCTTTTGTTGCCTCCCCTCAACTATGCTACTGTTCTGACACCACTTTATGTTGGGATCTGATGCAAACTTGGGAAAGGAATTATCTGGTTCACAAAACCTGTCAGTTTGAGCCATCACAAGTTGACACTTAAGAGTATCTCTACTCACTCTCCAAGCTATGGCTGGCAGTTGTCCCGGGCTCCTAGCAAGTGAACAGACATTCACTTTTGATTCTGGAAATGCAGCCAAATGCCTGCAGTGGCTCAGGCCAGAAGCTAGAGGATGCTAAAGTATGGCTCCCTGCTCATCTATATTAGATAGCTTGAGCCAAGGTTAGCCTGCCCACTCTGCAAGGAGAGGTTTGCAGTGGAGGTGCAAAGCATCTTGGGATGCTCGGGGACTGTGAGTTAATTTGAATCTGGAGAGGATCTGGGCCAGAAGTTCAATCAAACGATTTAACCTAAATGAATTAATTCTGATACTACATCCATCCAAGCTTATCTTAAACTGGTTTCAATCTTTTTGAAAGTGGTTTATGTGCACTGAACTTCTGTTGTGTTACAGATTTGAACCAGTTTCTGATCACTCATACTGGTTTCTGTGTAATTTTTGTTTCTAGCCTTAAGGTTAGGAAGGAAGGAGGAGAAAAGGACCTCAAAGAGAGGGGAGAAAAACTCCTTTGAGGCAGATGCAATATGGACTCAAATAAAAGTCTGATGAGGCTGCATCTGTGGACAAAATAGGAATATTCAAAAAGAAAATGAAAACAAAACATTCAAAATATGTATTTTGGTCAAAAAGTTTCATTTCCATTTTGAGTGTTTTTCATTCACCTATAAAAATAAAGATTCAAAGCAAAAAAGTTACCTCAAAGGAGTTAATTTTGGCAAAATTGACACAATTTTCTGAAATATTTTCACACTGATGGAATTTTTTTCTTTAATTTGATTTTTTCTGAAAGAAAATTGTTTCCAACAAAGTTTTTATGAATAGGCCTAGTCAAAACACAGTTCACCCCTAAATCTACAATAAGACAAAACTGTTTTAATCATCTTGGAGACTACTTTATCTCCAGGTCTTCCAATATGGTTGTTGCTATCATTTGAATATGCTATAAAACACTATGTGCACCTCTGAGGGGGCATACAGACACTGGGGAGGTTAGATCAAATTAAAAATAGCCAGTCGATCTAACTTATTTCACACCTTACATTAGTTAAGTTAATTTAAGTGCAAACTGTACAGAAATTTAGGCCAGTTAGACTGGTCTAAAAATGGCTGACTCAATCTAAGTTAACCCTACCTATGAGATACACCTAACTTAGGTTAGGTCGGCCAATTTTTAGACTGATCTAACTGTCCTGAACTTCTGCATAGTTCCCAGTGCAGTCCTAGGGTGCGGAAACCCAACTGCTGGCCCCAGCCCCAAGGCTGTGCTTTTCTTACCCTCTCCCTGTCACACAGCTAGTTTTAGCCCCTCACCACAAGATGAAGCATCCCTCCCAACAGCTGGCAATGATCGGGGGTGTATGCGGGTGCACGTGCACCCCCTGAGATTAGTGGTGCAGCCCCTGAGAAAAGTGCTGCCAATGCCCATGCGCAGTTCTCACTCGCCACTCGCCCCTCCCCCCCCCCCCCCCCTCCACGCGCGGCGCCGCCGTGCG